TAGGGGACAACAAGGTTACACTATCTTAACATGTTCCACTCAATGGCTTTTGATTGTGTTATGAAGTGCCCTCACGTACCAAAAACGTATCGCTATTTTAAGAGTCACACTATTAAGGAACCACATGTCTGTATGGCTAATATTTGTGACTTATAACCTGACAAGCTTTTTAGAGATGTGTCAGCCCAGTCACATTAAATTACCCCCTCAGATGGTCTGTTTGTTAGCATCCCTCCAGAGCACGCCTTGCTTGAGAGGGGATGTGCCCTTTGAGAGCACCGAAGAAACTATCACCCCACCACAAAATCCCCCATACCAGTCATGGCATTTAGGCCTGCACATCACAGCAGAGGACACTCTCCCTAACCTTTTTATGCAGATCTGACTCAGTTCCTCTTCATGCCCCACAATGGCGAGAAAAAGGAGGGATGACCGAGAGATGAGATGACCGAGCAGTGAGGAGAGACGAGAAAAAGGAGGGAAAACAAAATAAGCATCTGGCTGGGATACGTTCTTGTGCACTTTTGTTAAAAATGTTTTCAAACATCATTTTTCTTTAGTGGCTACTTCTGAGGTGGGAAGAAAGGTGACGTGATGGGGGAGGACCCCACAGAGAGGACATCAAATTCGTGGTAATTATGAAATCTGGGTGGAGAGTTAGTTGAGTGCTAACTGAATCCTTATTCTTTATAGTTTATCTTGGTTTACAACTATGCTTTTGTATATACCTCACATTCGTGAAAGCAATTTTGCAAGTCTCACGATGACATGGGTGGTAAGTGACAAAGTATAATTAGTTAAGAGCATAGGGTGTGAAGTTAAAATGGTCTGAGGTGAATCCCAATCCTCCCAGTTACTAGTTGTGACCTTGGGCAAGCTACTAACCCAGTTACCTTATCTGTTGAGTGGAGATAATAACTACCAACTAGGTTTACTGTGAAGATTAAGTGATCAGCACAGTGGCTGACATACCCTAAATCCTCAATATGCCAGCTAGCCATTACTATTATTAAAAGGATAGGTTCTCTGCACAATGACCTTTCTTTAGTGTGTGTGCTGTTTCTTGTGTTTTGGATCATGAATCTGGTAAACCAATATTCGCCAACCAAATGACTTATTGAATAAAGATATCAACAATCAAATGCAGTTTTTTAAACTGAAAGGCCATACATTGTTGTCCAGAAGATGCCGAAATGAATGAGAGAAACAAATTTAACACTCCCACAAGCAAAGTGTGAAGAACTCGAGTATCCAGGCACCCTTTCCGGGGAGTCTAATTAATATCAGCAATGTCAGCTGTCTCGTATAAGAGAAGATCAATCCAGCACTAACTTTAAAGTCTAAAGACATCCACCATTCAGAACTTCCCTGGCGGTCCAGTAGTTAAGACTCCGTGCTCCCAGTGCAGGGGGCAGGGGTTCGATCCCTGGTCGGGGAACTAATATCCCACATGCCACACGGTACGGCCAAGAAAAAAAAAAAAAAAAAAGGACATCTACCGTTCGCCCTTATGAGTATTCAGAGTGCACAAAATGTTAAATCCTAATATCTTACATTAGCAAATAATAACAATTAGCAAACACCATGTGTATCTTTTTAAAAGCTATCCCGGGCTTCCTTGGTGGCGCAGTGGTTAAGAATCTGCCTGCCAATGCAGGGGACACGGGTTCGAGCCCTGGTCCGAGGAGATCCTACATGCCATGGAGCAACTAAGCCCCTGCGCCACAACTACTGAGCCCGCACTCTAGAGCCCGTGCTCCACAACAAGAGAAGCCACCACAGTGAGAAGCCCACGCACGGCAACGAAGAGCAGCCCCCGCTCGCTGCAACTAGGGAAAGCCTGTGCACAGCAATGAAGACCCAACACAGCCAAAAATAAAATTTTAAAATAAATAAACAAATAAAGCTATTCCCCCAATAATAATAAAAAGGAAATCAAAGATTAATTTGTTTGAAGCCACAGGTCACAATTTATTCAACTTTATTGTTCCCTCTGGGCATTCATAGGTTTGCAAGAAATGAACAAAATTAAGTTGAATGTAAATTCAGGAGGTTGGACAGAAAGATGTGTAGCGTCTCTTAAACATCATGAATGACAAACTGCCCAAATGATCAAACTATTAAATTCTGAGTTTCATGAATGACAAAGTACCTCAATAATCAAACTATTAAGTTTTAAATTTCATAAATGACAAACTGTCTAAATAATCAAACTATCATCAACTTTAGTTGATCTTCATAGCTAAACTCAAGAATTAGGTGCTACGTTAATAATGACAGCTATTGAAGATATTCCTCCTTCCTTAATTTCAATTTATGTGAGCATGGTCAATCCACAGCTCTTAATTTCAGTATTTAATTCTATTATCACAGTATTAAGAGTATGCCTAGGCTCTAAGTGGCCGGAAGCATAAAGAAACTGGTAACTCTGAGAAATACGTATGTTTCAGAGCCAAAGGAAGAAAATTAAGACATTTCCTTTTTTTTTTTTTCTCTTAATAATTCTTACATCTCCCCTTGGTGTATTTACTGAGCATTAGTTGTTATTTAATACAGTGGCTCTCCCAGGAGAAAGAAAATCAATGAAAAAATAAGACTTTTTCAGGGATAAAGAGAGAGAGTTGCAATAGAGAAATACCAGAGGGGAATAATCTTTATTTTATATAGCAATTAGAACCTTATAAATAGAAAATATACTTTTAAAGTCATAGCATCAGTTTAGAACTGGCCAAAACTGAACATATTTGGAAAGTTACTGATTACTGGTGAAAACAAAGGAAAATCCAAACTGAAGGATTAAATTTCTCTCAAAATCAGTCACTTGCATGTCTGTACCTCTGTCATAAAGTGTTTATGAGTTTGATATATATTCCAGGCATACGTCTCCTTCCAGAGAGCAGAAACTCCTAACCGTCCATATTCCAAACTGAAACAGATCCATCAGCATTTCACCTAAGAACAGCTCCTAAAAGCTGTTAGCAAAGGTTAGTCATAGACAGAGAATCAAAAGACATAAAGATTTTCAAATCAAAATGTAATGCTTGGGCTTCCCTGGTGGCGCAGTGGTTGAGAGTCCGCCTGCCGATGCAAGGGACGCGGGTCCGTGCCCCGGTCCGGGAGGATCCCACATACCGCGGAGCGGCTGGGCCCGTGAGCCATGGCCGCTGGGCCTGCGCGTCCGAAGCCTGTTGCTCCACAACGGGAGAGGCCGCAGCAGTGAGAGGCCCGCGTACCGCAAAAAAAAAATAAATAAATAAATAAAATGTAATGCTCTTTAAGTTTCTGAAGCACATGCTTAGAGAAAACTTTCACTAAACAGAAAAGCAAGAGCAAGACCATTCGCCCTTCACAGAAACCAGCAAATAAAGAATGTATGCACAGAACACCTGGATTTGCTTCCCTGTTTCTTTGCCAGTGACTTTTATACATACATACATACATACATACATACATACATACATACATATATATATATATATATATATATATAAGATTAGCTAACTGTCAAACAAACATTCAGAGCACTGAATGACATGCAGTCACACAGATACACTCTCACACAAAAGAGAGCAAGGCTGATGCTATTTCAGTATCATGAAATATTTTCCTAACCATGCACAGATGGAAGTACAGACTTTTCTGCCAACCGCCTGGTTCAGAAACTTTGCTCTATTTTTAATTATTTGGTTCAGAGGACCCATTTGTGATTAACTTCTGTGTTGGATGGCAAAGCAAATAAAGTTCCTGACCCACAGCAAAGAACACTGAGAGAAGCTTAATTACTTTTAAACAGCAAGTGTAATATTGTAAACCATGTGTAGGGACAACTAATTTGTCAAAGACCTGTTGATGGTTCCTGCAGTTTGAAGCTGTGGAGTGTATCAGTAAAACAAAAATCCAGGAGGTCTTAAGGAAGTGACACCAAAATGAAGTGGGTTTTTTTCTCCTCTTTTTTTTTAAATTGAGGTATCACTGACATAAAACATTAATTAGTTTCAGGTGTACAACATCATGGTTTAAGATTTGTACACACTGTGAAATGATCGCATTAAGTGTAGTTACCATCTCCTAATGACGTTCTTAATGACAAAGAAATGTTGGTCTTTGAGAAGCAACAATGGAGTGAGAAATGGAGAGTAAAGAATTAATAGTGTAGCAAGGACTAACCTTATTAGCACTAAAAGTTTCACTTTTGACTGGGATCGGAGAATGGAATGCCAAAGCTTTACGCACAGGAAATAGACTCAGATGCAAAGAGAAGTTGGTCAGGAAACTCAAACCATAGAATTCAAAATCACACACTAGAATCGCTGAGCAAGATAAAATCCCAGAAGAGAAGTTGAAAGAGAAGCAGTGGTCTAGCAATAAGGCAGAAAAGATAGTCAAGGTAAGAATGGAGCAGGTTGGGACTGTTTTATATTTTTTAAGCTCTGTGTTACTTTTTAAAAGCTGTTTCCAAACAGAAAACAGTAAACCCAAGTGGCAAATTAGTATAAATACAGAAAGGAAATAAAATATAAGGCATCCAGTTAAGAACCTTGAAGGTAGAATAGAGCTAAAACCTAAAAGACATTTATTCCTAGAGAAGTTTTCTTTTGATCAATTTCCCTAAAATTTAAGTCTTTGATGTACCTGGAAAACCTCAGATTCTACTGAACAATAGGTCACAGAGAGCCAAAATGTTTCAAGAGTAATAGTTTGCAAATGAGTCCATGATCAATGCCAGAATGATCTGGGAATTGAAAAAACTCAACAACAAGCACCTAATTTCTTCTTGAGAAGTGTACAAATGGAGAATAACAGAATACCCTTTGCAGGGGTACTCTGAAGTTCAGCTGCTTAAACCACTATCACTGGCTACTAGATTTTGGCTGGGTTGGTTGACATGGCAAGACCGTTAGAAGGACACAGACAGAGTTGTGGGCAATTATGAAAGTTCAATAATTGGAAGCAATTCAGGGAGCCATCATGTGGAGGAAAAAAAAGTGATCCGTTCCAGAAAGTCCAAAATAAAGTTGACTCCTATTATACATATTCATATTCTTCCTTCTCTACTATGCAAATCAGTAAAGTATATGCATGGGTATGTGTGTTGGCAAGAGACTAGAATATTTTTAAAAAACAGAATTAGAAAAAAAGCACATCTACGACTGAATTATTGATAGTTGCAAACGGTTTCATAACACCAATGTAGTATGATTACTATGGGCCACAGGCCATGGCTTAGAAATGGTTTTTATTTCATTTAGAAATGTTTCTATTTGCTGTAACAATAGCCACTGTGCTGGGATGGGATTTGACCTGTGTCTTTGTCCATAAAACAATCCTATAAAATACGTAAACATGAATTCAATTTTCTTTAAGTCAAGAAAAACAAAACTATGGTTGTCAGAACAAGAACTGCTTTCTGTGGGATATTCTAGTTAAATGAAAGCTATTCAACCTGAATCAATTGCTGTATCCATTCTCCAATACACAGCAGATTTATATTTCACAAGGTTTTTGACACAGAACAAAATGTTACTGAAATACCTCTTCCATTCCTTTTGTCCTACATAACATTCCAGGGGCTGAACTCCCAACATGGGGCATATATTTGTCAGCTTCTGTTTGCACTGGTTCTATTCTAGTTTGTCTTTGTTGCAAATTTTCCATGTTGACCCTTTCCTGGCAAAACATTAAAATAGACTTTTGGTTGTGTTGCAACTTGCAATAAAAAGGAAAAAAACTTACATTTTTATTCTGCACCATCTTTAAGCACCTGTAACTATTAAAAATAGGCCCTGCTGTTTACACCAATGACAGAACTTCTTTTATATACATCTGCTTATATAAACACTAGAAATTCAGGGAGAAAATTATTGTGATCCAACAATCCACACATTCCTACGCAAAACCAATCACTTGAGGATTTAAAAGCTAGATCTGTGGCGAGAGACAGGCTAGAACTAGCAGGAACAAGTCTGTACAAGATGAATTTATCCTCCACTGCCTCTCCGCTCCAGGTCATCCCAGGACTAGGCTTGTGGGCAAATGCCCAGATGGAAAGAATGGGCTGGTGCCTGTTTTCTAGCATATCTGTGTAAAAGACTCAACAAGAGCTCAGAGCGAGCTGCTGCTCTGAAAGAGACAAAAGGTGTGGAGCTGCAACATGGTCCTGGGCCATTGAATGACTAAGTCTAAGGCAGCTCAAACTCGGTCAGAAACGGATTTCAGACAATGGGGAGCTAAAACACTGGATCTCAGGGATGATGTCCAAGAGGTGGTCTCTGAAGCTGGGTGTCATCCTTTAGGGTGGCCCAGAATTAAATGGTGACGCATTATGCCTCCTGGCGAGTTCATATATACTTTGAACGGCACAGACACCAAGTCCCGTGGACTTCCACCGAAGATCTTGGGGCAAGGAGAGACGTCCACCAGCGCTCTCTGTGACCTGTTAGAGAGAAACATTCTTAGCTACTCCGTCACCAAGCAAAGCTCCCCAGCTAGGCTATAGCGCCTTGACTCCTAGGAAAAAGCTGTAAAGAGATTGCCGGGAGGAGGCCTACAAGAGAGATGGCCTTTGTCTGGTTTGCAGAATCACTGAGGAGGATTCCACATATAAAATCTACCTTCCGTAAGCCTCAAAGAGAATCAGATTCCAAGTATTTCTGAAACCAACAGCACGGTCGTCAGCACCGATTACTTCTGCAGAGACAGAAGAGGCTTCATAACAGTTATTATACGTGCTTCTGGCATCAAGAGATGGATGGTGATTTTTACTAAAAGATTAACTGCTAGATGTCCTAGGACAGCAGATACTCATCATGTAAGCAACTCAGTGTCTCGCACTGGCTCTCTCCAGACCAGGAGGCATACATCTGATTCACAGGGGGCTGCGTGAGCGTACTCTACCCTCTTCTGTAGCATCCAGCAGAAAGACAGGAGGGACCTACCAATATGGAAGTGACCCAACTGTAATGCCTTCCCACCCACATAGGAAAGAAATTCCCAGAGAAGATGGCATCAGTTTTCAAGATTCCATGGATGAGATCAATACAATTTCCTGATGTTTTTAACTTTGCTGACACTGGTGCATTAAAGGAAATATAGCTCGAGAAGCTTAACTTTAAAGGTGTAGTGGCTGCAGAAGAAAAAACACTCTCTACCTATCCATCAAGTTCAAGCTTAGGCACTACAAAAACTAACGTCAAAATTTATGAGAGAATGGTGTACATTCAAGGGGCTGTACTCTTGTCTTTCTCCATCTTTCCAGCTCCATCTCAAAACTGCTCTATTAGGCCCCTTCGATGAAGCAAAGTTCTGTCTTTTCAGTCTACAGATTCAGAGACACAACTGCATAAGGCCTGGGGGATCTCGGCTTCACAAGGTGATGGAGAAAGCACTGAACTTCATGCAGGTCCGAAGGCCCAGGTGACAGCACAAGCCATGTGTGTTTTAGCCCTGAAACCTAGCAAATCTGTCAACCTCTTAGGTTTTGTTTCCTCCTCTAGAAAAGGAAGAGGATACTCTCTGTTCTAGGGAATCATTAGGACTCCCCAGGGCAACAAGTCATACAAGGCACTCTGACTCCTGTGATACGCTATTATCAGCTGAGATGGACCCATGACACACTAGCTACTGCACACGGTCCAGATGACTGTGGTCCTTAGGGCTATGTTTACTAAATCAGAGGCCCAGACTGCAAAACACCACCAAGAGAAAAGGGTAGTTGTGACTAGTCCTATAAGAGAAACAGGAAAACATAGGACTTCCATCCCAGTGAAGTCTTTGAAGACCCTGCACATTTAAAATGGAAAAGTTTAAAAAAATTTTTTTAAGGAAATCGTTTCCTGAGACTTCAGGGTAAAGAGTAAAAAGTGCAGCATTTAGAGAAAGAAACTCTGAGATTAGTCAGGTCATTGAATGTTCTCTGCACAGCAGAATAGCAAACAGCTAGTGCTTGTTCATTTTCATAGATTAATAACCCTCTCTCCAGGGCTTAAAGATGATATGAACTGTGACTTCTAGAGTTCTGTTTGGAGAAGGCTCAATACTCCTGGGTAAGACCTATGTTTCAAGGACACATGCAAAAATATTTCTTCATTTCACATTGCTTCTTACTCACATTGGCCTATTCTAATCTCCAGGATGACCAAAATGGATCTAAAGCTTGCTGGGAGGGGGAAAAAAAAAGAAAGAAAGTAGTCTTCCCCCTTTTTTTTGCATCTGTTTATACAGATTGTTAAAACAGTCCTGTTCATTTGGATGACTCTGCGATGGAAATAAATATATAACTTGTTCCTTCTGAAGAGTAGAGAGAGGTACAAAGGGTTACAGAGGCCTCAGCAGAACAGGAAAGCCAAAGTAAAACACCAAAATTTGGGCTTAGATGCCATCACTGTATTTCTTTCAAATGCAACAGAAAACAAGGTTTTATGGAAGAAGATTTCTAAATAAAAACTAGATAATCTTTTCTCCTGTCAACAAATAATAGGTAACTTGTCTTATGGGCCTACGACCACTTACAAAAGGAACAAAACTGCTAATCTTATGAAAAGTGTCAGATCAGGCACCAGAGGCAGCAGCCAAAGGGAAACATTCTTTTCCCAGCTCCTTATAAAAAGACTGTCTTCCCAAAAAAGCCACAACTTGGGGTCATACTTCTCAATGGTCTGCATTACAGCACGGAGCCTTGAAAAGGGGAAGAACAATCAAAACAAAATTCATCCAGAGTCCTTTCTGCCCCCATTTGGAACTTGCCAGAACAGAGCAAGGTAGAAAGGGCTTTGGGGCGCTGCAGTGGACAATGGGCCCAGGCCTCGGTTCTAATGTCAGACCCCTTTCCATACCTGTCAGAACCTCCATCAGAAGCATGCAGACCCTCACGTCAGTGATCACCAATGGACACCCTCTCCCTGGAAATGGTATTTTCACCCACCACCAACAGGGCAACTTCTGGACGAACTCACGTGCAAGAGAGAGGAGGCTGTCCCTGCCAACTCAAAGGGGCGGGGACACCACGGTCAGACCCCACCAGCCCCATTCCTCCTGGGCGGGGTCACGCAGAGGAGGGTTTCAGGACTCCCTGGTCCATGGCGTGCTTTACCTCCACTTGACCAACCTTGCAAGACTCCAGAACTACTCTCTTCCAGATAAAATGATCTCCTTGGGAAAATTATCCCACCAAGAACTTTCACCTGAATCAGAGAGCAGGGTCACAAGAGCACGTAAGGGAGACTGATCAAAGCAGAGAACAGGTGTTTAGGAGGTGAACCTCAAATCCACTCATTCATCCCACAGGTTAGCGATGTTTCTAAGAATCCTCACATCATTGAAATCCAACAGGAATTTTTTCATTGCGAAGAAAGACAGTTTTAGACATTCAAAAACACAGTAATGTTTTTTCCTGTGTTGAAGTTCAATGATAATAGTGTTTGGTGTGGTTATAAGTGTAGTACTATAAAATTTAAATATCACTGGGCAAATCCAGCAATCTATTCCCTATAGCTTTTGTTCCAGAAAATTCGTCACTAGGCTTTTCTTTCTCCTGAGCAGAGCCCTCTTATAAATTTTGGTCACCTTTATCACTCTTTGATGCACAAAGGTATTCAACAGATGCCACAGCTTTTTACACCACTGTGGTCCACTAGGCCCCAGGGCTGGCTCCAGACCACAATCCTGTAAGTCATGGTCTATATAAAGAGATGGAATTGCATCCAATTTGCATCATACAAACCCACATTGTAGGGGAAATGATTACATTTATTGCAGCCCTACTGGATGCCAAATGCCAAGAATGGTTGGGGGGGGGGGGCGGCGAACAGCCTTGGTGTCCA